CATCCACAGGAGATCTGTGGTTAATTCTCCAAGATGTTTGGAACAACCTACCTGCTAAGTTCCATCAAATACTGTGTGCAAGTGTACCTAGAAGAATTGATGCTGTTTTGAAGGCATAGGGTGGTCACACCAAATATTGATTTGGGTTTTTCTTCTGTTTGCTCACTTTGCATTTTGTAAATTGATAAACATAAAGTTACAATATATGTTTTTGAAAGCATTCTTACTTTACAGCATTTTTTCACACCTGCCTAAAACTTTTGCACAGTACTGTATTTCTGCAAATTATCCATATCCTGTCAAAATTAGCCTTTACTGCCCCTGCAGTAAGATTCCTAATACTATCTTCCTAACAAGAGGCGGTATTCACAGATTTGGACTCTGAGCCTCACTCAGACATGTCCTTCCACCTGCATCTTCTCAAACCCTCTCTCCTCATTTCCTCTATATAATCTAGGATATATATATATATAATCTAGGAGGAGGGTGCCATCCTCCGATTAACAGTTTCACCTCATCCAATCCCTGCATATACATTACTTATTTATAGTAAATAAAACTAGTGATGTGAATGATGTGTGGAAAGAACAGATTTCAGTTCTATAAGAGTAATAACATTACTCTACAAGGAATGTAGTCAAATGTCTAGTTTCACATTAAAAGCCTCCATTTTCTATACTTAATTTTCACAAGTGAAACAAAGAGCTGTAATTATCTACAATGTTGCAAGAAAATCACGTTAGCATCATGAATAGATAATACTTTTTGTAATGCTGTGATTTACTCAGGACAAGAAATACCTTGGACACTCATAGACTTTGTGTTTCCAAAACTGATGGGAACAACTATTTTAATTTGTCCCTGAATGCTAGGTGGAACGTGACACCCATAACACCTATTACTAGCCAATAATTTAATCTTGAGACTATGAACTAAGAACTCCTGGGTAAAGAATCTGGCCTAATTTTTAGACTTTCCTGCTCCTTTCTCACTCTTTGGATTTTTATGCTATTCTGCTTGATGAAGAATTCAAACCACACACACTCTGGGAGCAATTTGGTAAGGCCTACAAAAAGGTAATTTTAATTTTTCTCTCATGGGCCAACAAGGCTATCACTGCTTTTAATTTGTATAGGCAATCATTCTTACATATCAGGTTTGTGCATGAGAAAACATGCTTATATTAATTTCAGGATTTTGGCAAATAATTTTTTTTATGTGATACATAAATTAGTGATACATAATTTACCATCAAACCTATCAGTCAACCATTGCATTCATTCTCTGCCAGTCCCAGGCTCATTCATGTCATCAATATCCATGGCATGATGCTAGATAAATGCTAGAAGGACTAACAGATTGCTGCCTTGCAGAGACCTCTGACTCAGTAATTGATAGTATCTTTATAAAATTTACATTTTTAGTATCAGAAATGTAGAACATCCTTGCAATCTTCCCCATTGTATTCCTTGAAGTGCAAATCAGGCAGTGTTTTTATTCATCTGTGTCATATAGTTAAGAGACATTCCAGTGGTAAATAGAGAGTAAATTGTTACTCCCCCATTAAGAGCAATGAGCCTGCCCCCTGAGAGGAAAATATTTCTGTATAACCCAGGATTCCCAGTCACCAAACATGCACCAATTGTTTCAAAAGAGAAATAATGTATCTCTCTATCCATATAAAAGTCTTCAACTCTTTACAGACTCTTTTTCATAGTCAAAAAGCTGTTGCTAGTTGCCCATACACTTTATATCTTGTTTCTAGTCATCTGTGTATATTATCCACTGCAAAAATATATGATATAACTTATTTGGTACATGACCTTTGTTAGCAACTATGAATAAAATAATCTACTATACAGAAAATGTCTAAAAGGAAAAAAATAATCTATTACATCAATGACTAACCTGAAGGCTGTTCTTTTACCAAACCATTCTTATTTCTTTCTTCCCAATCCATTACTTCCTTATATATTAACTCTGCATATAAAGAGGAGGATGAATATGGAGGTAAGACACAATAATACAACTGTTGCTTTCACTGCCTTTCACAATCTTGAAAAGTTTAAAATAGTCTAGGACAACATCTTCATTGTTCTAATGACAAAATACCATAATTATATAT